GCTCGGCAGGGCCGAGCTCGCAGCGCCCGCATGGTGTGGGGGGTAGAGGTGAAGGTAGAGCTGCTCAACACCCGTGTTCAAGCCTGTGTGTCTGTGCGGGGAGCACGTCCCGGAAACGGTGGTGTCTGCTCTGCTCATCGGCCCCTCAGCCAACCTGCACCCAAGTTTTGAGCCCCTCCGAACCAGGGGCTCCCTTTTGCATCCCTGACTAGCACGTCAGGTAGTGCAGGCCGTGTTGGCTGTCGGTCAGGGGCCTGGGGGGCGGTTTGCCTCCGTTTGCTGGCTGACTTGGGGCAAATGTGGCTCCCTTTCCATAGCTCAGTTTCCCATCATGAAGCAGGAGTGATGTGCCATATGATGAAAATTTACAACTTATCAACAGAAAGCACTATGGAGAAGGGTTTTTATAGCAACAAGTGTTAACAGAATGGGTATCTGTTTTAATAAAATAAAACTTCGATTGATATAAATACTATATATAATATCATGTGTCAGTTTTCTGGCAGGTGTGAGGTGCTTAGTTTTTGAAAGGTCCCTCAGATTATGGAGCTGCTCTGCATGTTGTAAGCCGATGTCTTTTGTTAACAGGGGTTTTAAAGGGCTATGCAGTTTCAGCATGTAAGTCGATCTGCTGCTGTGGAAATAATATAATGTAAATAATATATATATAAAATATACTTTAAAACTTGGTGAAAAGGCCATCAGTTTCCATGGCATTCACCTTGGTAAGTCCAGCACTTGAGGTTTTCATCCAGCATATGGTAAATGAATTAACTGTTGTCTTATTTCAGCACCTTTCCTCTCTGCTGTTGGATTACGTACCTTGCCTGTTTGTTCACAGGAAGTTCATGAAGTGGATCATGGTGGTGTTAGCCAGCTACCTACAGATTCAGAGGAGACTCTTGGTTTGTGCACAGAGAAAATGCAAGTTCCTGCTCAGTATAGCTGGAGTGCTGACTGGAGCTTTTGGGTAATGTGTCTCATCTTCTAATTTCTAGGTGGTCATTTTGGGAGGGGAGGTGGGAGGAGCTGTGTATAGATGTGTACTGGCTTTGCATCCATAGTTCTCAAGTTGCTTTATAATAATTAATTAATAAAGCCTTCCCTGCCCATGTTGTGTGGTAGATAAATTATCGTTATCGCTTTACTGAGGTGTAAGATGAGACTCAGAGGGATGAAGTTCTGTACTTGAGGTCATGTATCAAGTTAGTGGTTTAGGTACCCATTCCTGTTTTCCAGTTCCTTGGCTCATTAGGTAGCCCATCCAATATATCTTTAGGCCTTTAGGAAGTCACTGTTGGTGATTTTTTTTTTTTTTCCCCCCTCCTCAAAAGTAAGTAAAAATAGGATTTGGGATTCGAAAGAGCAGGAGGAAAGGGTCTTGGTCTGCTCTTCTCTGGGATGTTGTCCCAGGCACAGTGTAGAGTATAATAACAGCAAGCACTGTTGTCTTGAATTTTTTCCTCCTGTTTTTTGACCTTTGCATTGCCATGAAAAAAGATAAATGTGTGTATGAGTGTAGGCTAGGGTGTGTTTTTTTTACTGTTAGTTTAGTGGATGGGTTGTTGCTATTAGACAGGAGCTGGGGTCACATGTGCATACAGTCAGAGACAGGGTAACACCTGATTTTGCAATAGGTTTAGGTTCTGCTCATCAGTGTTTTGTCAAAACGACTCATTCTGCATCCTGTGTCTTGCTTCAGTCTGTGCACAGGAATGTCATCTAGACTACTATACTATCCTCATCTCTTTGAGTTTACCAGAGTATGTTTGCTGTGCTTAGCAGGTGAAAGATCAAGTCATATACTAAGTACTTTGGCAAAGGTTATAGGGAACCGGTGGCAAATCTGAGAAGAAGCTATGAAATCATATTTTCCAACTCCATATTTGTAAACTGAGCTTCTAAGTGTATGTTTTTTTTTTTTTTTTTTGGCCTGTCCTGTTCAAGCTAAGTGTATGTTTTAATGATCAGAGTTAATGATCAGATTTTGCATCTCAGATCATCACATCAGATCTCCCAGGAGGTGCGTGTACTTTTAAACTGAACAATATAGTAACTTGAAGTTAATAAAGGGAAAGGTGGAATATATCTTAGTGGTAGATCTTACAGTTAGGTTAGTAGGGAGTATGTGGATCATTCAGTATTTCTCCAGTGCTCCTGCAATACCAAGGACTCTATGTCCAGTTGTTCTGCCTGTGCCTAGCTGCCTCTGCGCCCTGGAAGCGATGGCAAAACAGCTTGCACAGATATAGTAACTGTCAGCCATGTTCTTGTTAGAGGCCAAACCAGACTGTGTAAACTGATGTCCCCTCAAAGGTACATCTACATCAAAGGTACATTAATGCAGATGACAGTTCATGTTTGGATGTTGGGGTCAGTTTGTTGAGACAGGCAGTCTGCCAAGCTTACAAAGGAAAGGCTGGGTTTTGCTATCTGAAATAAAGTTAGTGGGGTGAAATGTATGCAGGATGTAGCTGTGCTATTGACTTCTTAATTTTAGGGTTGAGATGCATGCCTAAGATTAGGATTTTCTTTGGGTAGAACTTTCTACGCATATACAGTTCAGCATATTGTGCGTGTCTCTGCTTTCCGGGAAGATGCCTGCCTGCAACTTCTAGAGGGACTAGGATTCTTTGCTGCTGTGAAGATTACTATGAAAATGTAAGGTGTTATCTAGTGTGGTTTAGAATTTACCTTCTGCTTATGACTTGTACTTCGACAACCTCAGTATTTGTTTATAGTTCATGTTTATCTAGCTCTGTAAATATGACCTTGTACTTAAAGGAACTGTGTAAACACTCACCTTTTGTGAGATACTGCTGTGGCTTGTCAGGTACTAACGGTACCGCTTTTGTCATTGATTGGTCTTAACCTCCATTGATCTATTTCTGTGCTTTTATTCATAGGGAGCTGTGGTAGGGAGGCATTCACTTTCTTAGCCAGGAGGGGACTGGGTGTAGCAGTAGCAAGAGGCAGGGTGTCACAAGAGTAGAGGCAAAAAAAAAAAAAAACTCCTTGAATCTTCTAATTGAAGTGTTATGTTAGTGGTATTTTTCTCTGCTCTTCTAGACAGAAAATCTGTTTTAATAACTTACATGGCTGATAAGCAGCTGCTGAATATATAAACAAATCATTAAAATTTCCTAAATACTGAGTCATAACAAATGTATAGGCGATAGAACAAGCTGCCTTCCGTGTTATTACGTAAAGCATGTGTCATTAACATTTTACTAGGGATGATCTTACTGTCCCGTGGTAGGTATGGTTTAGAGTGTTCCTGTAGCAGGTATGGATTTGTTCTGCTCATGGCTGCTTTTAAGTCAGTTTAACTGAGGAATTGCTACAGCACCAACACTAGCCTGAGGTCTCCTCTGAACGTTGGTTTTGCTGCCTGGGCTTTGAGAGGCTGCTTGTGTCAGAATGTTCTTGGCTTGCTCCGAGAACTCATTTATTCTAAGAAAGTACTCTGGAGTGCTAAGCAAGCTTCTCTGATGGTGGAAGCTTAGTGTGGATGATAGAGCCTGACTGGTTTGACTTCAATTTTTCAGATTTGAGTGGGAGTAGGCAGTTGTGCCATGCCTCTGAAAGCCAGGCCAAGTATCAGGAATGCTCAGTAAGTGCTGGAAGAGTGTACGATTAGCAGCAAACTTGGATTGGGAGCCTCTGGGATATAAACTCTTTACTGACTATGGTGAGTGTGGAGGAGGGAAACGCAGCAAAAAACAGAAGGAAGAAAAAATTGGTTCAGATTTTTCCTGTCTCTGAAATGGTTTTACTTTTGACAGCTTTATTAAAGCATTTTGAGAGTGAATAGATGTTATTTCCTGGTGTAAGCAAGTTCTAAATTGGCAGTACTAATTGCGCTTGCACGGTTTGGTAGTGCTTGCAGTGTTTCTTTGAATATGTCCTTTTCATAAGTGTCCTAGAAGGTATTGATTTGGGGATATTTAAGTTTTATTTGGAAGGCTTTTCACTGGGCAAAGCTAGACTTTTATAACCTCAACGGAAGGTGGAAGAAGCTCTCTTGCAAACCTATCCTTGGAGCTTTTTCCTCTTCACTGGAACCAGAAAAGCTTCTACCTACTTTTCATTAAATGGCTCTGGTTTTGGCATCTGCAAATAGAAATGAAGAAAATCAAAGATGTGGTCAACTTAACAGTTACATTTAGAAGCTATATTTCAAGATTTTCATTTTTTTTTTTTAATCCTTCTTACAGTCTTCATTCTGTAATGTAATTAATATCCTTGGAAGAAGAAACCTATGGAAAGCTTAGCTGAAACTTCTTACAAAGGGTAAGATAAAGGCATTTGAGGAAGCTAATGAAAATGATTCTTTCATCAAAAGTGAGGACATTCTGTCTGGAAGCTGAGTTTTTCTTTTCATTTTGAGGCAAAGAAGGTTATTGTATGCTGACAGTAGAAACCATGTCCCTTGGCAAACAAGCCAAGAACAAGCAAGGTTTTACAAGATTGGAAAGTGACTTTGAAAGATGACAAAAATGTGGACCTGACTTATACAAGAAAGGGCTAATCTGTGGTAGCATTTGAGAATATTAGGAATATGATAAACAGATAACTCAAACCCACAGCTATATACACATTACAGTGTAGAAGACAACTTAATGCAGCCCAGATATAAGTTGCTTTGGGGCACAGGAGTGAGCATTAGATAATTGTATCTAGAGGTGTTTAAATGATCCTTCCACCTTTTTCTGAGGACATGTTTGCTCTGGGAATGTGGGTTATTGGGCTTGTTAAATTCCTTTTTTTGAAGGCTAGTATTTAAGATTCTCTGTGTTTCTTTGTCTTATATATTATGTACTTGATATCTTTTTTCTGAAAAAACATCCTCCCCCTGCCCCCCACTTCCAAACTTAGTGTGCAAAAAATCTGTGTGTGTGTGTATATGGTATTGTGTTCTTTTCTTCTTTCTTTTGCTTAATTATTATTGCTGTACTTACAGTGCTGGCATTTTGATTAGCTGAAATTGCTATGCTCTTTTTGCCTTGTGGTGACATGAGTCACATAAAAGCATTTTTTTTTTTTTTTAAGGATGAGAAAAGACAAGTTGTATGAGACTAATCCTTGAACGTAGCATATTAAGTGTGTGCTTTTTTGTCGTTGGGTTTTTTGTTTGTTTGTTTTTTTCCTTCTCTCTATCACTTATTTTCATGCTGCAAATATCTACTGCTGCTGATGTAGCTTCTAACTGAGCAGTGGGGCAGATCTGACTGCCATCAACCTTTAGTTTACTGCAAAGTGGTGAAAAAGACACCTCAACAGTAGAGGATGCATTTGTTCAGTGGTACAACTAATAAAACAATTAGGACAGAAAAACATCCAGGAGGCTAGATGATTTGAGACGTGTGTGTGGTTGGTGTGTGTGGTTTTTTTTTTTTATTATTATTTTTTTTTTATTTTAAATGGCAATCTCTCTAGTTTAGACTATATGACTTTTAATGCTGATGGCTACTCTGGAGCATGTATGTTGTCTCATCCTGTGTAGCAGATGGCTCTGCACTAATTAAGTGATGTCAAGATTTCTTCGTGATATCAGCAGTATTTTAAAAATTACATTGCATAAGTAGGATTTTTTTAGGTAGGCTTTCCTATTGAAGCTTCTTGTGGAACTAAGTATTGGTTGCCATAGATGAATATGGCAAACCACATAGTTTCAATATGTAAAAGCTTTAACTTTGCTACTGTTCTCAGATGGGGTGTTTGTCTCTGCAACCCTTCTTTTCCCTCTTCCTGCCCTCCCCACCTCTCCAAAAAAAGAAAACTTAAGGAAAGGATCAGTTAAGTCATTCAGGTCTTCTGCTTGCTTGTACAACTTTTCAGCTTCCTTTTTTTCCTGCTGCTCATATGTACTAGGACTCAAGGTGTTGTCCCTTGTTTAGAGTGAGTGAAGATGCATGATTATAAACTGTGCTGTATATGTAGCTTTGTAGTTGTCCCTTTGCATTACCT